ATTATTTTAAAAAAAATTATTATTATTGCAATTATGATTTTGCAAAAAAAAAAAAGTAACCGTGAGAAATGTCACGTCGGTTAAATTTAAATTAAATATCCAATTATTATTATTATTATTATTATTATTAAATAATAAATTATTAATTCGTTCGTTCGTGGAAATTCATTTTAAATAAAAAAAAATACTTTCACATGTAAAAAAAAAAAATTATTTAAACGTTGTTGGCAAACCACAAAAAAAAAAATTTATCCAATTATTTCCTTTTAGAAATTTTCGTAGAGCAAAAAAATAATAAAAAATAATCGCCGGAAGTTAAAATTTATTTATTTCGTAATTTATAATAATAATAATAATAATAATAATAATAATAATAATAATAATGTTTGTATGGTAAATGACACGACAAATTCGTTGTGGGGTAAAAAAAAAAAAAAATTAATCGAGAGTAATAAATTGAAAAGCTTAATTAAAACAAAACTAAATAAATATTTTTTAGGTAAATACATAACTTATTTAAATAATAATGATGATAAAGGTTTAAAGAGTCGTATTATTATTATTATTGTCAAATAAAATTAATAAAACGTGGTGTGCACGTGGTGTAACTTGTATAAAAATTGAATAAAAACCTTGAAACTATGAAATTTTTATCATTTAATAGAGAAAAAAAAAACAAAAAAATTTATTTTGACCTTTTCGTAATATATTTATTTATCATCGATAATCATTTATTTATTTATTTTATTATTAATCGTTACTATTATTTGATCCGTACATAAAAAAAAAAAAAAAATTCTCGTTATTAAATAATAATAATTTCGAATGTGTCGCATTTATTAAAAATAATTTCATCGTTCATGTTATTATTTATTCTCGTGCGTTTAAATCAATTTTAATAAAATAACATCTTCCTGTAAATTTTTTTTTAATAACTACTTCCGGTATTTTTTAATTACCCTGATTGTGTATAATTACCGTATTATTAACGAAATTGTCATTTATAACGTCAAAATAATATTTTTTGTTTTTTTTTATACCGGGTTTATATCACTTTTATTTGTTTATTTTTTTTTTTAAATTAAAATTTTAAACACCAACATCATCATTATTATCAGTATCATTATTATTATGTGTTATCATCACATTCGTGTAAGAGTACGACGTTACAACATAATAAAAATAATAATAATAAAATAATTTTCAATATACATAAGAAACTTTTTTTCTTTTTTTTTTTTTTTGGCTTAGAATTCATTTCTATAACTAATTCTATTATTATTATTATTATTATTATTATTATTTCGTATCAACACATAAAGTTTTTTATAAAAAAAAACGTCAATAATAATAATAATAATTTTTTTTTAAATGTTCTTGCCAAATAAAATAAAATTATTTTTGATTATTACCCTTTTTGTGATTTGTCCTTTTATCAAATAAATAAATAAATAAATAATAATAATAATAATCCAATTAAATAATGTTAGAAAAAACAAATTCTACTTTTTACTTTTCATTTTTTTTTTTTTTTTAAATGTTTTTATCACAAAAAAAAAAGACTAAAAGATACTAATTGATAATTCCTTTGAGATTATTTATAAATAAATAAAATAAAATACTTTTGAAAATGTAAAATAAAAACCGAATGTTATTAACAAAACGTGTGTCCGAATATGGTAAAATTTAGTTACAACTGATTTAGTCGGTCATTCGATACACGAGTTAGTAGTGGT